AGTAGTTTTCTTCAGTTCAGGAAAACAGAGAGAATATTTGAAACTGTGTACTAAGAGACACCCATCTGAAAAATTCCCAGTCAGTTCTTCCAGCAATGCTTCATAGCTCTCCCATTGGCTCAAGGGCTCGGGAAGGTTCATAGCAAGATTTTTCCAAAAAGAAAGGCAATCTCTCTTGTCCCTTTTTCAAAGGGTGAAAGAGGATGTCTAAGTAATACCAAGTGAGTCTGAACTGAATTTGTAGTTTGGGCAATAAGCCTAAGGCATAGATGGGCAGCTCAAACCCAAGTGTCAATGTGGGAAGGAGGGGGAATTTAGCCTGGGGGAATTTCCAAGACTTTCTGTCAAAAGTTCTCAAGACATGCAGCATCCTCTATGCTGAAGTCTGTCCTTTGCAAAGTACCCCCCATGCAAGAAAACTGTAAGGAGGTCACAGATCATTCTGAAGAATCAACGCAATGTCACAGGCTGATGACAGGTTGACATCTAAGGTCATGGACCAGTTTTCTTTGGGGATGCCTTCACAAAGCAGAAGAGCTGTATCAGCAAAATGTCACTGAAAGCTGTCACCAAATTCAACAAACAGGGCAGAGCACTGCTCACAAGCGCACCAACAGCCCAGTAAATCAAGAATCCTCGATCCCTTTCCCAAAGGCTGCAACAGAATAGTGTGTTAAAGTAGTTTCTTGGGCCAAACATAGATACATAAAGCCATACAGAGAATGGCAATGCCAGGCTTCTTCATAACTGTGATGTTTGGCGTTTCTCCAAACAGCTCTTGAACAATTTTAGCAAAACTCCAACGGTAGTACGCGTCACTAACCAACACAAGAGGCGGGGTGTAAAGGAAAGTCATGAATGAGCGTGCGTAGCACGAAAAGACTAATCTCTGCTTTTATAAAGAGATAATCAACAGCTGATGAATTGGAAATGCAGAATGATGGCGGTGGTTTGCATCATAGGCTCTGAGTCAGACAGATCTGGGATCTAGTCTTAGCTCCTTCACTTATATGTTATATGACCTTAGGACATTATTTAATATCTGAACTTCAGTTTTTACAGCTGTAAAACGGGAATAATAATACTACCTACTCTATGGGATGGAAGAAAGGATTAAATTAAATTATATAAATAAAGTGCTTAGGACGGTGCCTGGCAAATAATAAATTATGAAAATGCTGCTTACTTTCATAATAATTACTATTATCATCATTACTAGTTATAATTAGGAAATGCTTTTCAAAAGTGAACACTTTGAATATAACTTACATGTCATCTGAACTGGAAGTATAATAAGGGTATCTAATTCCCCCTGATTTAGTAAGTCAAACAGAAAACCAAAACAAATTGAGTTATTCAACTGGTGTATTTAGAATTGCTGATGATTGTAGAATTCAAGAAAATTAGTGAAATACATAAATTGCAATTCATCTGTCTTGAAAATCTCAAAAATCAGTTTTTATTTGTCTAGTCTAACAGTGGGCAGGGCTTACTTGTTTAAAAATGTATATTTAGAACCTTCTAGAAAAGAAACATGTGCAAGGTGAATAAAGGGGAATAAAGTATGTTAATACAAGGCAGATATGCCAAAAATCATTTATGTTTCATCTTAGACTGCAAAAATGATGCACTGCCTTTACATAGCACTTTATGCTTTTCATGGAATTTTCCCTGCATTGCCATTTTATTCTATTAGACATACAGAGACACACAGAGAGAGGGCCACAGAGGGCCACATGTACACTTACAATCTCTTTGCACCCAGCACTGATTATTTTCAAGTCAGCTCTACTATTAGAGTCCTGGTCCAGATGGAGGGGAAGGTATGGCATTAGCAACAAGGTTGTGGGGCCAGTCCAGAAAACACATTCAAAGGATAATCTGATTAGCAAATTTTGAAAGGGGTTGGTATATCCATTTCACTTATCATCTAATTCAAAAAACTCCGTAACACAACTTGGACAAAGTTACCAGTATCAAAGGTCCTAATGAAGCATAATTTGTGTTGAGTATGTTGCATTCTGACAGTGCTATAAACCAGGGAGACAGTTTACTGACAATTCTATGCTACCAGATACCAACGCAGGCCTCTGTCCAGCTTTACATTGTCAATTCTCATGGAAACATGAGCGGTTACATAGCCTCAGAGTACAATGAAGTTCGGATTGCAAAAGATGAGATGGACAGATTTCATATTTTCATTGCAGATTTTTTCTTTGCCTTTTCAAAGTACTGAGCATAATTTTTTTTTAAAGGCAGGAAATGCAACTAGTGTTTGTTTCTAGCATGGCTTCTGTTTTGAGATTTCTTCTTTGTAGAAGAAATGTGTTGCCCAGCTGTCTAGAATCCCAATCAGGATATCGTTTCAGCATAAACTGTATTATAAAAATGATTTTAGCTGATTATAAGCTAGAATGAATATGAGGCTAGGGCTATTTTATCCAAATTTTACCCACAGAGGGGGCACTCTGATTCAGTTAAATGGAAATAATATAAATGAATGAGGTAAAGTTTAGTTCTGTGTTTTGCCCAGGAAAGAGAGTAATTGTGAAAGACAAAGAATTGCATTAGTGAACAAGCAGAGCTGTGGAGATTCTCAGTTATAGAGATTCTTAGAAGCAAGAGTCATGTGGCAAGTGGCCAAAAGTATTGCAATCAACATTTAAAAAACTGGTTCAACCCAAGTTGAATTGCTGGAGAATTGAATGCTCTCCAGTTTTAATACTTCTCCTACCTGCAACACTCACGTACATTGTTCAACAAATATTAATTAAAAACTCCCTTTATGAGGAGCTCCTTGTATGGAAACACCAAGGCTAGAACTGGTTAATGGGAAAAGATACAAGGATGATTCAAGTTCTACCTTTTTAGAGATTTGTGAAAGAGACAGACATTTCAGCCAGTATCCTATTTTTTGATTCCAAGACTTACAAATTTTAATGTTTCTGAAATACAATCACTGAGTACATTTGATTATATCCTTTCCAAAAGTTGGCATTAAATCTATGGGTCTTATAATAGATGGAATTTTAAAAGTTAGATGTGAATGTACTACTGTAAATTCAGCTATTCAGTATAAGGGGAACAGAGAAGAAATCTAACTGGAGGCTTCTTGAATGAAATTACTATAATCTGGGCCTTGAAGAAAAAGAAGAAATCTACCAGGCTGGAAGCTTGTGTATGTGGGATGAGAAAGAAAAGATAGGAGGATATTGAAAGTAAAGGGAAGAGCATATGCAAAGACATTAAAAAACACAACAGTATGGAAATGTGGGAGTACAGTTTATATATTAAATGTATTATGAAAAACATTCAGAGAACCTGAAGCCAGCTATTATAGAAGCTAAGTGGGAAGCTAGAGTACAAGGATTTAGGATTTGGAGTTCTTCTGAAGACACTTGACTGTTTTTAAGTAAAAGGAGAACTAACATGAGTCTGTCACATTCCTAAGTGTTGTAGATGTTATTCAATTTAATTTTCCCAAATGTTCCCAAGGCATCCCCCCACTGTTTTTCCTGATAGGGAACATAGGCATAGGGAGGTTAAGATACCAAGGATACAAGGAGAGAGTCTAAGTTCTACCTCATCTGTATGATTTTAAAACCTATGAGCTGTCAATAACACCAGCTTAAGATGTTTCGGTCTTCTTGTTTTTCATTTTCTAATTTTTAATTTTTATTTTTTGAATTAATATACATTTTTAGAGCAGTTTTAAGGTTACAGAATAATTGAGCAGAAAGTACAGAGAGTTAACTTATATCTCCTCACCCTTCCAAAAGTTTTCCCTATTAATAGCATCTTGCATTAATGGGGTAGATTGTTATAATTGATAAGCCAATATCAATACATTATTATTAAGTAAATATTATAATTTACATAAGGATTCACTCTTTGTGTTGCATTTTATGGGTTTTGTGTAATGACATGTATGCGTAATTATGGCATCATACAGAATTGTTTGCCCTCAAAATCTCCTGTGCTCACCTATTCATCTCTCCCTCTTTCCCCCAAACCCGTCTCACTGTTTCCACTCATCTTTTACTCTCTGTAGTTTTCCTTTACCCAGAATGTTATATTGTTGGAATCATGTGTTTTCACACTGGCTTCTTTTACTCAGCATATGCATTCAGATTACTCTAGGTCTTTTCATGGCTTGAAAGCTCATTTCTTTTCATCCCTGAATAATATTCCATTGTATGGATGTATTCTGGTTGGTTTGTCCCTGCACCTACTGAAGGACATCTTAGTTGAATTCTAGTTTTGCCAATTATGAAAAAAGCTGCTGTAAATATTTGTATGTAGGTGTTTTTGTGTTCATGAGTTTTTAACTCGTTTGGGTAAGTACCAAGAAGTACTGGATCATACGATAAAAATACATTTATTTTCATAAGAAACTGCCAAATTTTCTTCCAAAGTGATTGAATCATTTTTCATTTCCACCAGCAATGAATGAGAGTTCCTGTTGCTCCACATCTTAGGCAGCATTTGGTGTTGTCAGTATTTCAGCCATTCTAACAGATGTGCAGTGATATCTCATTGTTTTAATTTACAACTCTTTGATAGCATACGCATTTCCTAATTTTTTTCTTACCTACTATATATTTTTTCTATTATCTGTTATTTTGACTTTTACATTTTCCATCATTCATTGGTTCATTCATCAACATATAGTAAGTGTCCATTGCAAGTCAATAACATTTTTTGAATATGGGTTATTTTTCTTTTACTCTTTTTCTATTTTTTCCCCATTTTTATTTTGACATGTTCCATTCATTATTTATTTCACATAAACTATTAATTTGTTTCTCTATATATTCTATTCATTTCTAGATAAACTAGTTGGTTATCTTTTACTTTTCTGATAATTTTTAAATTTCCTCCACTTTCTCATTCTCCTGTTAGTTTTATTATTATTTATTCACAGTACATACAGCACAGTGTCTGAAATATTGTTCCATATGAAACTGTTTGAAAAAATCTCTGAAGTGGAAATCACTTACCTTGGTTGACAATAAATCTTAACTTCTGTATTGTTGCCAGATTGCCACTAACTCGATATATTCCATCAACATCTAGACCTGAAGACAAAAGGGCATATTTTATATTAGCACATATAGGAACTGAGATGGTTAAAAAAAAAAAAAAAAACTATGAAAAGAAGGAGTAAATCACACCAAATATCTCTTCTTCTCAGAGAAAACTAATTTGTATGTTCTAAATTATGCACTCTTCAAAATTTTAATCTCAATAAAGTAATTATGGTGTTCAGTCATAATTAAAATTATCATCAGTAAATTTGAGTCTAATTGAGGCACAAAAGAGCAGTAGGTAGCATAGGATTACATCATATATTTAAGGTTCATTTCCAAGGAAAATATAGGAATCAAACTGGGTAGGGGAGAAACCTCCAGACATTTGTGTATTATTGCCTTTTTTCTACAAGGTAAAATAACTCAAGACATTTGTGAGACATTTGCTACTGGCCTGACTTACTGTCTTCCTGCCTTTCTGTCTCTCTTCTTTCCTTCCTCTCCTCCCCTAAGCTCTTTATCTTCCCTCCATTTCTGTTCTGTTCTGTTCTATTCTATTCTATTCTATTCTATTCTATTCTATTCTATTCTATTCTATTCTATTCTATTCTTGTTTTCCTGTGATTGCTACAGAACAACATGTTTTGGTCTGATTGTTTGAAACTAAAGAGTAAAAATTCTATTCTAGATATAATGCTAGTTTGATAACTTCCAGTGTATTATAGGTAATGGGTGCTCCATTATGGAGAGAAAAATAAAAAAATCTTTAGCAAAATGGTAAAATGAATTTCAGATTATTTTAGAACTGTTCATCTGTAATTCAAAATAATTTATCCTGGCAGTGAATTTCAATAATCATTCACTTGTTTTCCACACATCTATTTATAGAATCTAGTTAATTTCATGACCACGTTATGAGGACAACGAAGAAACAGGAAAACGAAAAGGGAAACACTTAGTCAAACACTATAGTAGTATCTAAAAATGCCGAAAACATAATTTTAATGTCAAGAGTGTATATTCTTTGATGTGTCTGGGCACTCAGAGAGGCCTAGGTGAAACTGCCAGCAGACGCAGAGGTCTTATCTCAGCAGTTTCTCTAGGGAGGTGGTATAGCATCATGGATAATCATTGTAATTCACAATAGTATTAAATATATTGGTAGAAATTATTGCCATAGTATAACAGAATAAAGGCTTTCCAAAGCTCTTTACTGGAATAAAATGAGCTCATTTATTGCTTTACTATCTCTACATTTTTACACACTTTATATTAGGAACACTTCTGCCATTGTGCAAAATATTTCACTGGGAGGTTAGGGTAGAATAACATACCTTAGAACACTGGTAGTAATGGCATAATTTAGGACAGTCATTCACTATAGTTTTTACTCTTCCATGTAATAAACTATATGATTACTTGAGATAATGGCAATAAAATGGAATAGCTATTAACAAATGTATTAATTGATGTGACTTTATAGTTCTAGAATAATCTAAGAAATGATTGAGACTCTGTCTCTCCCTGAGAACTATAAATTGTGAGGAATTGGATGAAGCTGGACACCAGTTAGACAGTGGTGAAACTTTCTAAGACATATATATTTGTAAAACTCCAATATATTTTTTCTTCATGATGCACAAATTACCTCCATTAATCTAAGTCTACTCTGGTTTGTTTGTTTTAAAGTACAATTTCTGCTTGACAGCTTAAATGTGATAATAGTCCTAATTAAAATTTTTCTAATATTTAATTCCTACCTTTAGTATTGGTCTATTTTGGTCTTAAGTTCATGCACTTACACCCAGAATGTTAAAAAATTAATTTATAAAAAACTTATTAATCATTTTTTTCCTTTGTCATTAGATGCTATTTGGTACTTAGTTTTAACCTATGAAATTTTAAATAACATGATAGATTTAAAACTACCAAAAATTTTACATTAAACTGTGTCCTTTTCAAAGTTTTCCCTCTTAATTTTTTTGAACATATAACCACTGAGGAAATTATCTTAAAATTATTCTCTAAAATCACCCTCAGAGGCCCTGAAATGTTATAGAAAAATGTTCATAATGGCATGCTTGGGGGTTTCGGGGAGAGTTTTGGATTTAGAAGTAGACAAATGGCATCAGAACCATGAGTGGTGAATAAAGTCACCTTGATGTTTGCCACCACAAACAAACAAACAAACAAACAAAGTTTGATCAAGTGAACGTGGCCCTGATTTTTTCCCACGGATTATCAACTGATTTTAAGGAATTTAGAGAAAAAGAATTATTGTAGAAAATAGAAACATCAATGGAATATGTGGGTCTATGTTCTCTAAATGAGAAATTCTAATGTTTTTTTAAAATCAAATTAGTCTGTTTTACAATGATTAAAGATAAAATGTGAATATCTATTACAACAAAAATGAGAACATTGTGTGTTTTTAAAAAATGTTGTTTTGCTAATTAGCTAGACCCTTATCAGAGGTCTATTATAAATGAAATTATTTGAATTTCAAAATTTAATTGCAAATAAGGGTCTTACTTAATCATTGCTTTAATATGCATATTTATACAAGGTGTAAAATTAAATGAATGTCTATTGTGAAGTTAGCACTCTTCCTTTTCAAATATTATTCTACATGCTATTGAAATGCATAGAGTCGTAAACTGGTTTTTAACTGATGAAATTCCCTATATCCAAAACGTTTTTTTCTTTTAGAGAGTTACAATATAAGAAGTGTTTTCCTTCGTCTTTCATACATTTCTTTAAAAAAATTTTTAAATCCAGTAATCAAAACCATTTGAAAAAGTCATATGGATTGGACATATATTACATATAAACAACTGGAAAGCAGTATACTGTTTAAAGAAAGCAGCCTCATCCTAAAGTAATAACACAACTTTCTTTTGGCATAAAAGGAGGGAGCACAGCTGGTGGAGACAGGAAGGGTAAATCAGACCTGTGCTACCACTGTGGTTGTAGACCTGAGTCACAGCAGAGAAACTGCTTTGTGACTGGAGATAGAAACCAGAAAGTAAAAGGGAGTAAAGCAAAACATATTAGATGCAATATGAATCTATCTTGACACAACTTTCAAGCCCTTTAAATTCAAAGATACCAACACTATATATCTTGTGAGTGATAATGATCTCTGACATTAGCGGCTCCTGCTTTGAATGGCTCATGCTTTCTGGCTATCATACTTTTTAAATTACATAAATAGAGTGAAAATGACAAAGTTTCATATGAAAAGGGAGGGTATTACATTTTGCGAAATAATCTGGAACATATCAGTGAATTTTAACAGTTATAAATTATGTAGGTACAGTCTTGAAGTTGATTTGCTTTCCCCTGAATGGCTCACAGAACAGCAGACCCAAAGTTCTAGGACTATTACCCAAATTACAATTATTCACGTGCCATCTTCCTTTTACTCCAAGAACCTTGAAAGTTATGCCAAACCAAACCAATGTAAATTGGTGGATTTGGACATCCTTTTCATGACCACATTATTCTTGCTGGATTGCAAACTACTTATTTTGGAAATATAATTAGACTTCGTATGATTTTTAAATGACCAATGTCTTCAAGGTACCTCTTTTGTGCTTTGGAGAAGGTTGGTGAAAAATCGCTTTGAGAGGTACCTCTTTCAAGAAAATAACATGACTGTAAATGCTAACAGGATTTTTGCCTGTAATGCTAAAAACACTTTGGGAACACGATAAAACTAAGTCATTTTACTTTTTTAAAAAAAATCAGACTGGCATTAATGGTAGTATGAAAAATTCTCTGAAGAAATCCACATTCACTGAAATATTGTTTATTTGTTCATCATCAGCTAACCTTCTTATATTTCAAAATAGTGTTTACTGTTGGCAGAAATCACTGGGTATTGCTGTAGGGGATTTTTAAAAGTCTCCCCACCCCCTCCCTCACTTTTTTTTTTTTTTCCCTGAAGAAGCTTAGACTGGGATAGACACACAATTAGGAGTTATTAGACTAAATGGTGGTCTAAGCCCAGCGGAAAGAATGCAGCTGTCATGAGTAATTCCCACCATAAATCTTAGACACTTTGCAAAAAGAAATCTAAGACCAACACTCTGTCCAGAGTTGACTGGCTTATCTGCCAAAATATGGGCAGTTTTTGACAATGCAGACGAGTCTGTTAAAAATAGTCGAAAACTGGTTTAGGTAGCATTTTGGGTAGCCCGAATGATGGACACACCACGCAGATGTGGAGTTTGAGCCTGGTTGAGTGGTGTGCCCCGAAAGTCTGCTTGGTTTTCTGACACACAACAAAATGCATCTGAACCTTTGCAGCCTGCAAATGTGGGCTGGGAATTTTGCACAAACAGTCCCTCTCCAGAGATTTATGGCGCGTCCTAATTCCTAGGAGGCCAGAGCTACCACGAGAAATGCCATTCTCGCAATACTTTGAACTTCTGGCTTCTCCCTCCGGTGAAAACCTTTGAGCACAGGAACACTCAGGTTGCCCTCAACCCCTGCACTTTTCTCTCTCAGTCCTTCCAAAGTTCTACTTGGGTTCTGAGCTAAACATGAGAAACTCTGGTGCCATTTAGACCTATCCCTCCTCCTCTAAGTTGAAGTGAGTGTTTCAAACATTTTTTTGCTAGCTTATTTGTTCACACACTTTAAATTCAATGACTGAGAGTACAAGATATAACTTAGAATTCTAATCTCTCTTCCAACTCAGTGGTGTTTATTTTGTACCTATCTGCCATTTTTATTTAATTATGGTTAATTTCGTATGAGATGCCCATCCTTCAATAGCCTTGCTATTTCCTAAGAATGATTCCCTTAGGAAATAGCTGGCACAATTTTGATTTTCAAACGAGAATAATTTTATTCTATAGGATAACTATATGACTTCATAAAAACCATTCTAAAAATATATACAGGGTTTTTTTTTTTTTTTTGCTATACTTCCATGGTTTAAAAAAACAATAAAAACCAAAATTAAACCACATAGAACAATATACAATCCAAACTAAGTACAGTAGCTGCCCCAACCTGCTTTCCAAAGATAGTTATTGTTA